TTTTGCTAAAACACCCCAGCCATATTAAACTTTAATTTGTAGCAAAATCACCCTACCCATCCCAAGCCATTGCCAACAGCCAGCCACCACCATCTGCTGCCACCAGCAGTCAACGGAATGGCACACGACTGGCCGTATATGGTTGGTCGTACGCCAGCAAAGGCGAAAATGGTCATAAATCACAAATCCATGGGTGGAAAATGGCCAGATCTATGGCCATTTCACGACCATAAATATGGTCGTGAAAAGGCCAAATCTATGGTCATGGAAAGGCCAAATCTTTGGCCGTTTTCGGCCATAGAAACGCTAGATCTAGCCGTTTCTGGCCATGGATTAGTGATCGATGGCCGAAAAAGGCCTTGTCGGCACATGATCAGCCATATTTTGCCAATCGTGCACCATTACGACGTCTAACACCAGCAGTGGTCTTGGGTGGTTGGGGATATTTTGTTAACTTTTAAACTTTTTTGTGGCTGGGGTGTTTTAGTTAATTTCTCAAATGTAAGGGGGCTGGGTAATTGTTATTTGGTAGACATTTGATTGCAATTGTGTCCGAAATGGTTTTTAATTAAGGGTAAAATGGGAAAAAAAAATCATATTACCTCAGTATTGTTTTAATAACACCCCCTAATAAGGTAATAAGATTATCCCTCACATTACCCACAATAAACACTATTTGTAATAAAAGATTACTGTAATATTTTATTACTTGCAAATCAAACACATGAATCTTGCAAAATAAATGAATATTACCCCCGTTATCTTATTTACCCCCGATTCAAATGGCCTCGGAATGTTATATTAATAGAAAAATAGATTACCTTGAAGATTAGTATGAATGTTTAGGAAAATGTGTTTGGTTGGTTGGAATAAATTGGTGGGTATATTTTATTAATATGTTTGGTTGGAATGAATAAATTGGTGGGTATATTATGTAATTTACTAAATTGTTCTCCTTTCAAATATTAATATAATTTTTATTTTTATTTTTATTTTTTTAATAATCTTTTAACCCCTTACGTTTGAGATATTGCTAAAACACCACAGTAGCCAAAAAAGTTTAAAACTTAATAAAAACACCCCCACCACTCCAAGCCACTACCTGCCGCCTACCACCACCGCCAACGATGACAGAAGTGGTCGTAATAACGCATGACCAGCAAGACTTGGCTAGCTGTGTGCCGATGTAGCCATTTTCGACCAGAACCATGATGGATCTGGCAAAAAATGGTCAAATCTATGGCTAGAATTGGTCGTCGTTAACGGCCAAAGTTTTGGCCGTTGTAGATATGGTCGTTTCCTACTAGATCCATGGCGATCTGGTAGTTTCCGGCTAGATATCTAGTCGAAAATGACTAGATGGCGCATGATTGGCCAAATTCGACCGGTCGTGTACCATTCTGGCAACCTCCGGTAGCTATCGGTGGCTGATCTGGCCACCACCCTTGGGTAATTTTTTTTAAAAATCTAAGGGTATTTATGTCCTAAAATTTTTGTATATAAGGATAAAATAGTCCTTGAATTTTTTTGTTATTTTTTTTCAAAACAAGGGTATTATTATCTAAAAAATTTAATAATTGAGGGTAATATTGTAACAAAAATAAGATTATCAAGTAATCTTAAAATACCTAAGAAAATTGAGGTAATTAGATTACCTCCTATATTAACAACTGTAATTACTATTAGTTTTGGAAGATTACCGAATCTTATATTACTTAACAACTAAATGTGGTAATCAAGTAATATAAAATGACATTATATCATTACCTCAGTAATCTCCCATTACCCCAACCAAACACACATAGTTTACGAGGATTACCCTTTTACGGGAAAATTGTTAAAGGGTTAAAAAAAAGGTAAATGCGCTTTTTTTTTTCTTTTGAAAATTACTAAAAGGGTTACTAATTTAAGAAAACGGGTGTCAAATTCATAAAGTTGGATGAGGGTATTTATGACATTTAACTAATTAAATAAACTCAAATAATATATATTTTTTTTAAAAGAGTTAAGATTAATGGGAATGTTTAGGAAAATGTATTTAGTTGGTTGGAATAAATTGATGGGTATGTTATATTAATATGTTTAGTTAGGAGAAATAAATTGGAGGGTATGTTATATAAATTACTAAATTGCCCTCCTTTTTAAATATTTATGTAATATTATTTTTTGAATAATTTTTTTTAACCCCCTACATTTCAGATTAACTAAAATACCCCAGCAACAAAAAAAGTTTAAAACTTAACAAAAATACCCCCACCCACCCCCAAGCCACTGTTAGCAGCTTGCCACCATTGTCGGCAACGACGACAATAGAGATTTGGCCGTGAAAAGGCCAGATGTTTGATCGTGAAACAGCCAGCCAAATTCAGTCGATCGTGCGCCATTCCGTTGACGCTGATGCCTGATCTGGTCACCACCCTTTGGTAATTTTTTTAAAGTCTATAGGTATTTATGTCCTTAAAAAAATTGTATATAAGGACAAAATAGTCTATGAATATATTTATAAATTAATTTCAAAATAAGAGTATTTTTGTCCAATAATTTTATTAATAAAAGATAAAATTGTAACAAAATTAAGATTATAAAATAATCTTAAAATGAGTAAGAAAATAAAGGTGATCAAATTACCTTTTAATTACCAATAATAATTACTATTGGTTTTAAAAGATTATTATAATCTTATATTACTTAATAATCAAACGTGATAATCAAATATTATAAAATATATTATTTTAGTAATCCCATCTTACCCCAACCAAACACTAAGAAAAAAAAAAACTGCTGAACAAAAGGAGGTAGCAACCCACAGGTTGGAGTGGTCCGAGTGGATTTGGTATGAAGAAAGGAGTACGGATATTGAATAAGTGAGCATCAAGCAATCACGTGATTGCGTTTGCCTTATGACATAAGATGCAGGACTACTATTATTTCATTCACGTCAACTAATTACGCAGCCCGTAGCACAAAAACATTTCTTTAATCACGAAACAGTACCATGGAGAGTTAGATAGAAAAATAAAAAAGTGATGGTCATGCCATGTGATATGATGATTAAATAAATTATATTACCACCATTTTTTAAGTTTTCAAAGTTATGAATATTACATTCCTTTCTATATTCTTACCTCGCACCGACCAACAATTACCACTGCAATTACACATCTTATTCTAATATGCTATATCTTTTTTAAATTATTATTTTNAACTAAATGTGGTAATCAAGTAATATAAGATAACATTATGTCATTACCTCAGCAATCTCCCATTACCCCAACCAAACACACAAAGCTTATGAGGATTACCCTTTTACGGGAAAATTGTTAAAGGGCTAAAAAAAAGGTAAATTTGTTTTTTTTTTTTTTTTCTTCTGAAAATTACTAAAAGGGTTCCTAATTTAAGAAAACAGGTGTCAAATTCATAAAGTTGGATGGGGTTATTTATGACATTTAACTAATTAAATAAACTCAAATAATATATATATTTTTTTAAAAGAGCTAAAATTAATGAAAATGTTTAGGAAAATGTGTTTAGTTGGTTAGAATAAATTGATGGATATGTTATATTAATATGTTTGGTTAAGAGGAATAAATTGGAGGGTATGTTATATAAATGACTAAATTGCCCTCCTTTTTAAATATTTATGTAATATTATTTTTTGAATAATTTTTTTTAACCCCCTACATTTCATATTAACTAAAATACCACAGCAACCAAAAAAGTTTAAAACCTAACAAAAACACCCCTACCCACCCCCAAGCCACTGTTAGCAGCTTGCCACCATTGTCGGCAACGACGACAATAGAGATTTGGCCGTGAAAAGGTCAGATGTTTGATCGTGAAATGGCTAGCCAAATTCAGCCGATCGTGCGCCATTCCGTTGACGCCGATGCCTGATCTAGCCACCATCCTTTGGTAATTTTTTTAAAATCTATGGGTATTTATGTCCTTAAAAAAATTGTATATAAGGACAAAATAGTCTATGAATATATTTATAAATTAATTTCAAAATAAGGGTATTTTTGTTCAAAAATTTTATTAATAGAGGATAAAATTGTAAAAAAATTAAGATTATAAAACAATCTTAAAATACTTAAGAAAATAAAGGTAATCGGATTACCTTCTAATTACCAATAATAATTACTATTAATTTTAAAAGATTACCATAATCTTCCGATACTTAATAACATCAACTATTATAAGATACAGTAACCCTATGTTACCCCTGACCAGACACAACCTAATAAAAAAAAAAAGAACTGCTGAATAAAAGGAGGTAGCAACCCACAGGTTGGAGTGGATTGGTATGAAGAAAGGAGTACGGATATTGAATAAGTGAGCATCAAGCAATCACGTGATTGCGTCTGCCTTATGACATAAGATGCAGGACTACTATTATTTCATTCACGTCAACTAATTACGCAGCCCGTCGCACAAAAACATTTCTTTAATCACGAAACAGTACCATGGAGAATTAGATCGAAAAATAAAAAAGTGATGGTCATGCCATGTGATATGATGATTAAATAAATTATAATATTACCACCATCTTTTAAGTTTTCAAAGTTATGAATATTACATTCCTTTCTATATTCTTACCTCGCACCGACCAACAATTACCACTGCAATTACACATCTTATTCTAATATGCTATATCTTTTTTAAATTATTATTTTTTATATTTTTAAAATTTTCATTTAATAGCAACATATGTGGTAGAAAAATTTTAAGATATTTAAAAAAAATAAAATAAATGAAGAATTTCTGGTAATCTATAAAAAATTTATTCACATCAACGCTAACAAATCAACCTTATAAATTTTCTTTAATACAGAATTTTTTAAAGTTAGTATTTCTTGCGCGTGGTAAACAAGCAACGAAATGTCGAAATAAGTAAAAGTCATGTCCAATACTTCTAGAATACTTGACCGTTGAAAACCCAAAAACATCCCTCCTTCAGTCTCAAGTCTCAACTCAAGCTCTGCTATAAAACCTTCTAAAACCCCTCACCTCCTCAAGTCACAAACAAAACATTACACATTTCCATCACGATGCAAAAGAGTTCTTCAGCTTCTTCTCTTGGCCCTGGAGGCCTTGACCTATCTCAAGCCTTCTTCAAATCCGTACACAACTCTGCCCCACCTTCACCCACCAAGCGTCACATCAAGGTCTCTGTCGTTGGCACCGGAAATGTGGGTATGGCTATTGCCCAAACCATTCTCACTCAAGACCTCGTCGACGAGCTCGCTCTCGTCGATGCCAATCCCGATAAACTCCGTGGCGAGATGCTCGATCTCCAACACGCCGCAGCTTTCCTTCCCCGTACCAAAATCCACGCCTCCGTTGATTACTCTGTCACCGTTGGATCTGATCTCTGTATTGTCACGGCTGGCGCCAGACAGATAGCTGGCGAGTCTAGGCTAAATCTTTTGCAGAGAAACTTGGCTCTGTTTAAGGATATTATTCCTCCGCTTGTTAAGTACTCCCCTGACTCTATTTTAATGATCGTGTCTAACCCTGTTGATGTGTTGACTTATGTTGCCTGGAAGCTATCCGGGTTCCCTTCGAATAGGGTTATCGGGTCGGGGACGAATCTGGACTCCTCCAGGTTTAGGTTCTTGATTGCAGATCATCTCGACGTCAACGCTCAGGATGTTCAGGTTTTTCTTTCTTTTTGATGTTCATAATAAAATTTATATTTAAAGTATGCATGTCTTTTAGATAGTTGGTTTTAAAATACTCATATGTGGTCGAATAGTTTGTTAGGTTAGTGGATTCTGGGATAATTTTTTAAAGTTACTGTATTATAAGATTTTTGTTTCTTGAATAAGAGTATGTTTTGCTGTGGGTTCTGTGGATTTTTTGTTATGACCTCTAATATATTTTCAGTATTTTAATATAATGGATAATCTTGTTTACCCATGAATTTGAATAAACTTTAGAATCTATATATGAAAAAAAAATTTGCAGATTTTGTGATGTCTTTGTAATAAGAGTCTCTAATGGTTGTAAAATTCTTTTGGATCATAGGCTTTCATTGTTGGGGAGCACGGTGACAGCTCAGTGGCATTGTGGTCTAGCATAAGTGTTGGTGGAGTGCCAATACTGAGTTTCCTGGAGAAACAGCAAATAGCATATGAGAAGGAAACGCTGGAGAACATACACAAAGAAGTAGTAGGGAGTGCGTATGAAGTGATAAGTCTGAAAGGTTACACATCTTGGGCCATTGGGTATTCAGCTGCCAACTTGGCACGATCCATCCTCAGAGATCAGAGAAAGATCCATCCAGTTTCAGTCCTTGCTAAAGGATTCTATGGCATTACTGGAGGGGATGTGTTCTTGAGTTTACCAGCTCAGCTTGGTCGAGGTGGTGTCTTGGGTGTCACTAATATTCATTTGACTGAGGTGGAGGCTCAGCGCCTTAGGGACTCCGCCAAAACCATCTTGGAGGTGCAAACCCAATTAGGAATTTGAGAGCACAACAATGAACATCATTTGGTCGTTCTTTTGCATTTTATCCGAGCTTTTTCAATTTGTAAGGGTCTATCCAGTTTCTTTCAGTGACACTTATTCGATCTGTAACTGTAAGGGACTTAAATTGCTCGGCCGTATGATACAGTTTCAGTTGCTGTTGTAATATTTATACTAATAAACGTAATATTTAAATATTTCTCTGGTCATTCTTCAATTTAGATGGATTACAATTACACACGGTCTCTGGTCTAAAATTTCGAGTCATGCAATTCATTTCTTTGGGGGCAAGAAATGCTTTCAGTGGCCAATCCATGATGGTAAACAAGAAGCCGTTCTTTATCATAAAATTTATATTCCTTTCATCAAACGTATATGTGATTCAATATAACGATGAATTCAAAAGATGACAACCACATTTAAGAATTTTTAACAGCATAAATTGGATCATTTTCAATAATTTTTGTGTTTACTCAATTTCACCAGAAAGCAAGCCACACAAAAATTAAGCATACCTGTCAACACTCCATTGGTGTAAAGCCCCATGACAACAAACCCAATGGCTCCCTCAACGGCCGCCGCCAAAACCACCACATCACTATCCTTCCACCACCATTTGATAACCCTAGACACCACAATTTCCCAATCCATTCACACTCTCTTCCACTCAATGATACCTCGGTTCTTTCTCCACCTCCTCGAATACTCTGCCGACTTTCGCCTCTCCTTTCCCGTCGCTCTTTCCCTCTATTTCACTCCCATTCGCCCCACTTGCTTAATCCCCTTCCTCTTGGGTCTCCTTCTCGATCTTCTCTTAATCGGACTCGTTAAATCAATCTTCCGCAGATCTCGCCCCCACTACAACCCTAGCATGATCCCCGCTGTTTCTGTTGACAACTTCTCTTTCCCCAGCGGCCACGCCTCCCGAGTTTTCTACATTGCGGGTTTTGCTTATCTGTTCACTGTTTTTAATGGAACTGGTTGGTTTCTCGTTAGCGTTTGGACTTGGGCTTTGCTTACTTCGGTTTCTAGAGTTCTGCTTGGCAGACATTTCGTCCTAGATGTTTTTGCCGGAGCCTGTTTGGGCGTGCTTGAAGCCATGTTTGTGTTTCGCTTTTTGAGGATTTAGAGTTTGAGGTAATTTTTTTTCTTACATTTTTGAGATTGTTCAAGAAATAGAATTCTCCCTCTTGGAAATTTTACATATGTGCTTCAAGTGTTGTAAATTACAAGACTTATTATGGACCAGTTGATTTAACTGTACTTAAAATTCTTGAGATAATATGAAGAATACATTTTGATTGTCCGGAATGTGCTTGAAAAAGCATCTATGAAGTAATATAAGTTGTAATATCATCCGAAGACAGTGCTTCAAAGTTGTAATCGCTCTCATTGGTTTTTGGAGGAATTAGCTGGTTCATAGTTTGTTGGTGTTGGGGAAGCAGTGCTTCTTTGTTTATATTTGTCGAGGACCTCTTGAAAGTTGGAAATGTAGTTTTGGCTGATCCTTTATTTTGTCATGTCTTCTGAGATATGAAAGGTTCCAAGTTAAATGCAAAAACTGCTTAACATTTTTATGAATTACCATCATAAGGTTAGGCCGTCTCTAGTCTATTGGCAAATAAGGAGTTTAACTAACTTTTACATTACACATGGTTGTCTTTGATATGCTTAAAGCCTTCTTCTTATTGTGCATACTTTTTAAGAACTTTTGTCTGGCAACTGGAGGATCCTACACGGAACAAAAGTTGTAATCCTGTCTCTCTTCATTGTGAATAATAGACATCATTCTGTTTTGTGTTTCTTGGCATAGATTATTTGAGTTGAATGAGTAAAATTGATCTTTGATTTTGGTGTGCTCCTATGTGGTCATTAATTAATTTTGCGAATTGTAGTATATAGATAATCCAAGTTAAACTCATTTAAGCCTTATATCAATTTGAAATCCTTATGAATGATAAAATTGGCATGCATAGATGGTTTTGGGGAAGGAATATTATGTTTTTGTGCTGCAATGAATCATATGACTAATAAGTTTTTAAAAAGTAATAAGATGTTGCTGCTTGCTGACTAGGACTCACCTGTCTCTTGGATTGTGTTGTCCTGCTAAACCAGGGCAATGTAAGCTTGAAGATCAAACTATCAAGTCCCAAAAGCTTATTTAGACTTGTTATGTGAATATCATCCATATATTGTAACCTCATCTAATTCTTGTGCAAGCTTTGGGCTGAGTTTGTTGTGGCCCAAACTACTGAACTTCCTATGCTAAAAACACTATGAATATGTTTACAGCCATTTCTCCTTCCAAAGTGTTACTATACTGATTGGCCAATTCCTTAAGGGCGCTGTATATGAACATTTTGATTTGTGCAGTTCTTTGTTGCATTAAAGTTGGGATTCTAATTTATTCTTGTACCTGAATCGAAATGCTAGTTAACATTGCATCACCGGTTTAGATGTAATAAGATATTACTCCAAAATGAATTGCTGATTTTTGAGAAATAGCACAAATGTGGTGGCTGTTGTTCCCTCTGCATTGGTGCGATCTTAATCTTGATATTCAGGTATGCTTGCCCTCTTTAGTAGCTGAAGTTACTTGTTTTCTTATCAATGGAGAATGGAGATGGTTTCTTCAGCATCCTGATATATGTCGTCACTCTTAAATGTAGAAGAATAGAATGGTTTCTAAAAGAACTAGCCGTAATTTTGTCAATTCAATGTGCAAATCTGCTGATATCAAAAACTTTATTTTTTCTACTGTGAGTCTTCATGGTATATATTGGAGCTTTAAATGTGCTTTTTTCCACCAAGTTGATTGGCATTTGGCTTGAATCTCAGCAATTTATTACCATCCATTGGTTGATATCCATACTGTGTTCAATTGAAGATTATATTTAAGGGAAATTGGTTTTTGAACGCCTGAAATTAGAATATTCTCTAGCAGAGCTGTTGGGAGGAGTTTTTATGATCTCTACTTGTGTTGAGCAAGTGCGTATGTCACGCTGAATACTGGCTTAGCTGTGGTTGGACTACTACCGTAGATATATGTATATGCCATGTGCATTTTCATCAATTATTTTGTAAAAACTCTCGGACCCTATGGAACCATTTAGTCATGAGTAATGTTATGTATACTAATCAATTTGTATTAATAGTTGAAATTTTGAAATTTTTTTTTTTTTTTAGTTTTTGGGGGGACTGATGTGGCAATAAGAGAAGTCTACCACATTAATTAGTACTTGAGTTGTATAATTTTTGGTCGGTGCATATAACATTATTCTTTAGTTATATAAAGCTTGGAAGTGGCAACACTCTGCAAGCGTCCTCCACTGCATTGGAAGGCCTGGTAATCTGCTACTGAGATGGGACTGCAGCACGATATCAAAGGTTGTGATTGGCTCTGATGTATTGAAAGTAAAAGTTAATAATGGATAGTGTAAAGATAATTTTGATAAAAAGTAGATTTGACTAAATTTAAGGGACTACTAGGAAATATATTTTTTGGGCGTTTGGATCATATAATGTTTTATTATAGGGGATATTATATTAACAGAATAAAAATCACATTGAAGATTACTGAGAATGTTTAGAAAATATGTTTGGTTGGTTCGAATAAATTGGTGAATAATATGTTTGGTTTAGAGGATAAATGGGTGAATATGTTATAAAGATTACTAAATTGTTTTCCTTTTTAAATATTAATATAACAATATTTTTTATTATTATTTTTTGAAATATTTTTTTTAACCCCTTACTTTTTAGATTTAGCAAAAATACCCTAGTAACCAAAAACGTTTTAAACTTAACAAAAACACCCCTACCCACCCCAACCCATTGTCGGTAGCCAACCACCACCGCTGACAGTGCCATAAATCTGGCTGTGATGCCGACAGTGCCACAGATCTGGCCGTTTCACGGCCAGATCTATGGTCGTTTCACGACTAGAGATGTGGTCGTGAAACGTCGGCTGTTTCCTGACCATAGACTTGGCTATTTCACAGCCAAATCAGTCGTCGTTTCACGGCCACACCTTGGCCGTGAAATAGCCAAATCTGCCTCACCAGTGCACGACCGGTCATATACGGTCAGTCATACGCTATTATGACGATTTTTGGCAGCCTCTAGTGGCGATCGACAGTGCTGCTGGTGATGGCTAGTTCTAGGTATAATGACATTTCTGTAAATAATGATAATGACAGGGGCAATGTCATCCAAAAAATTTAAAAAGCGAGGACAAAAGTGTTTGCATGAGTGATTAAGTGTTTTGTAAATATTAACAAATATAAGGTTAGTTTAGATCAAATGCTCAACTGTTTAGGGGTAATATGGGAAAAAAATTGTAATATCAGGGTAAGTTTTAATAACAGCCTGATTTGAGCATATAATGATTTCTCTCAGGTACTAAGATTATTTACCCCCCAAATGCTACTGTTTGTCACAAAATATTTCGGAAATAATTTTTTACAAACCAACCAAACATCGTTATCTGCTCAATTTAAAAAATATTACCCTAGTTATCTAATATTAACCCGATCCAAACGGGCCCCTTGTGATACTTTTTTTCTTGGTTTAACTGAAATCTCACATGTCCATTTCTATTCCGCCGATGTTACTCGGTGGAAATTTTTGCTTGTCCAAAATTTGAAACAATGAAAAGTAGTTAGCTCAATCATTCATTAAACATTTGCTTTGTTCTTGATAAGCTTTATCCGATAAGGTGGTGTTAATTGACGAAGTGATTGATTGTGACATGGGAAACTTACTAGATCAGCGCTGACAGTAATCGTCATAACTTGCACTTGCTAGTTGAATCATTGTTGTTGTAAGTTTATATGATGATGGAAATGTGTAACATGCCTTGATATAAAGAGGTCTTGTACCTCTTCTAGCACCCATGCCACCTTGCTTTTTTTGTCGATGCATATTTGCTGTTTGATCATTTTAGGTACAATTAGACCATGGATTTGTATGTTAACATAACATGATTTCACAGTCCTTATTATGCTTATTTTTCTGCAGAAACTGAATTTTCAAGCAATCTTGTTTTTTTCTGTAGAAACTGATGGTGTTTGTTTTATATTATTGTAGGATGTAGCTATCAGCTTTATATGTTTGAACACACCGACTTTAGGGGTCCAACCTTAGAAATTAAGTCTTGAATTTGTGGTTGGCTCTTTAGGCTTTGTCTATGTTGGTTCTGTATGGCTGGTCCCTCGTGATTAACTAAAGCTTTTGGCTATTGAGTCGTAATTGGAGGTTGTTAATCTTTGCAGATTGCAGCATCTGCTTTTCATTATTGTTATAATTGACGTCAGTTTGAATCCTATAAAGTAGTCTTTTGTGTCAAATCGATACTGTATGCTTATCTGCCCCAAACAGGAATCAATCCTGCAAGCCTAGAGAGGTTTGAGAATGTGTTGATGCCAGATAAGATTAACAATATGATAATTGAATTATGGTTGCACATCTTAAAACTTGAAAAAAAAAAGCAAAAAAGAAAACTAATCATCAAAATCCCAGAAATCGGCTCTTTTGGGATAAGTTTACGGAGAAATAAAAACTTGGTGGAGCATAGATGATACAAACTTAGTGTATGGTTTATTAACGTAGAGAAACACTGAGCAACCATGTTATTGTGGTTCAGGCTTTTAGTGGTAAACGACTGGTGATTTTACTTTAGAGTTTGGAGAGATGTTAGAACCGAATCTTCTGATATGAGACAGCAGGAAAGCCTCAAGATGAAGACAAAGTCTGAGATGAGAAACCTGGGTTCATTGTCAATTTGTGACACCAGCTTGTGAATGGAGTCTCAAAAAGTAATGGTAACATGTGAATTTAAGTGGGATTTTGTACAAAACAGTTAATTTGGGCGCTGGCTAATTGGGTATAGTGGGAGTTTGGACATGGTTGATGAGCTCATAAAAATTTGGAAGAGCGTTGGGAGAGTTTTTATGATCTCTATTGTGTTGAGCAAGTGCGTATGTCACGCTGAATGCTGGCTTAGCTGTGGTTGGACTCTACCGTAGATATATGTATATGCCATGTGCATTTTCATCAATTATTTGTAAAACTCTGGGACTCCATGGAACCCATTTAGTGATGAGAAGTAATGATGCACTAACCAATTTGTACTAATTCAAGACTAATAGTTGAAATTTAAAATTCTTTTTTTTTTAGTTTTGGGGGAACTGAGTGGCAAAAAGAGAGGTCTATCACGTCAGTTAGTACTTGGGTTGTATAGTTTTTGGTTGTGGTATATAGCATATTCTTTAGTTATACTGGCATTATTCTTTAGTTATATAGCTTGGAAGTGGCAACACTCTGCAAGCGTCCTCCACTGCATTGGAAGGCCTGGTAATCTGCTACTGAGATGGGACTGCAGCACGATATCAAAGGTTGTGATTGGCTCTGATGTATTGAAAGTAAAAGTAATAATGGTAGTGGATCATTTTCAATAATTTTTGTGTTTACTCAATTTCACCAGAAAGCAAGCCACACAAAAATTAAGCATACCTGTCAACACTCCATTGGTGTAAAGCCCCATGACAACAAACCCAATGGCTCCCTCAACGGCCGCCGCCAAAACCACCACATCACTATCCTTCCACCACCATTTGATAACCCTAGACACCACAATTTCCCAATCCATTCACACTCTCTTCCACTCAATGATACCTCGGTTCTTTCTCCACCTCCTCGAATACTCTGCCGACTTTCGCCTCTCCTTTCCCGTCGCTCTTTCCCTCTATTTCACTCCCATTCGCCCCACTTGCTTAATCCCCTTCCTCTTGGGTCTCCTTCTCGATCTTCTCTTAATCGGACTCGTTAAATCAATCTTCCGCAGATCTCGCCCCCACTACAACCCTAGCATGATCCCCGCTGTTTCTGTTGACAACTTCTCTTTCCCCAGCGGCCACGCCTCCCGAGTTTTCTACATTGCGGGTTTTGCTTATCTGTTCACTGTTTTTAATGGAACTGGTTGGTTTCTCGTTAGCGTTTGGACTTGGGCTTTGCTTACTTCGGTTTCTAGAGTTCTGCTTGGCAGACATTTCGTCCTAGATGTTTTTGCCGGAGCCTGTTTGGGCGTGCTTGAAGCCATGTTTGTGTTTCGCTTTTTGAGGATTTAGAGTTTGAGGTAATTTTTTTTCTTACATTTTTGAGATTGTTCAAGAAATAGAATTCTCCCTCTTGGAAATTTTACATATGTGCTTCAAGTGTTGTAAATTACAAGACTTATTATGGACCAGTTGATTTAACTGTACTTAAAATTCTTGAGATAATATGAAGAATACATTTTGATTGTCCGGAATGTGCTTGAAAAAGCATCTATGAAGTAATATAAGTTGTAATATCATCCGAAGACAGTGCTTCAAAGTTGTAATCGCTCTCATTGGTTTTTGGAGGAATTAGCTGGTTCATAGTTTGTTGGTGTTGGGGAAGCAGTGCTTCTTTGTTTATATTTGTCGAGGACCTCTTGAAAGTTGGAAATGTAGTTTTGGCTGATCCTTTATTTTGTCATGTCTTCTGAGATATGAAAGGTTCCAAGTTAAATGCAAAAACTGCTTAACATTTTTATGAATTACCATCATAAGGTTAGGCCGTCTCTAGTCTATTGGCAAATAAGGAGTTTAACTAACTTTTACATTACACATGGTTGTCTTTGATATGCTTAAAGCCTTCTTCTTATTGTGCATACTTTTTAAGAACTTTTGTCTGGCAACTGGAGGATCCTACACGGAACAAAAGTTGTAATCCTGTCTCTCTTCATTGTGAATAATAGACATCATTCTGTTTTGTGTTTCTTGGCATAGATTATTTGAGTTGAATGAGTAAAATTGATCTTTGATTTTGGTGTGCTCCTATGTGGTCATTAATTAATTTTGCGAATTGTAGTATATAGATAATCCAAGTTAAACTCATTTAAGCCTTATATCAATTTGAAATCCTTATGAATGATAAAATTGGCATGCATAGATGGTTTTGGGGAAGGAATATTATGTTTTTGTGCTGCAATGAATCATATGACTAATAAGTTTTTAAAAAGTAATAAGATGTTGCTGCTTGCTGACTAGGACTCACCTGTCTCTTGGATTGTGTTGTCCTGCTAAACCAGGGCAATGTAAGCTTGAAGATCAAACTATCAAGTCCCAAAAGCTTATTTAGACTTGTTATGTGAATATCATCCATATATTGTAACCTCATCTAATTCTTGTGCAAGCTTTGGGCTGAGTTTGTTGTGGCCCAAACTACTGAACTTCCTATGCTAAAAACACTATGAATATGTTTACAGCCATTTCTCCTTCCAAAGTGTTACTATACTGATTGGCCAATTCCTTAAGGGCGCTATATATGAACATTTTGATTTGTGCAGTTCTTTGTTGCATTAAAGTTGGGATTCTAATTTATTCTTGTACTTGAATCAAAATGCTAGTTAACATTGCATCACCGGTTTAGATGTAATAAGATATTACTCCAAAATGAATTGCTGAGTTTTGAGAAATAGCACAAATGTGGTGGCTGTTGTTCCCTCTGCATTGGTGCGATCTTAATCTTGATATTCAGGTATGCTTGCCCTCTTTAGTAGCTGAAGTTACTTGTTTTCTTATCAATGGAGAATGGAGATGGTTTCTTCAGCATCCTGATATATGTCGTCACTCTTAAATGTGGAAGAATAGAATGGTTTCTAAAAGAACTAGCCGTAATTTTGTCAATTCAATGTGCAAATCTGCTGATATCAAAAACTTTATTTTTTCTACTGTGAGTCTTCATGGTATATATTGGAGCTTTAAATGTGCTTTTTTCCACCAAGTGGATTGGCATTTGGCTTGAATCTCAGCAATTTATTACCATCCATTGGTTGATATCCATACTGTGTTCAATTGAAGATTATATTTAAGGGAAATTGGTTTTTGAACGCCTGAAATTAGAATATTCTCTAGCAGAGCTGTTGGGAGGAGTTTTTATGATCTCTACTTGTGTTGAGCAAGTGCGTATGTCACGCTGAATACTGGCTTAGCTGTGGTTGGACTACTACCGTAGATATATGTATATGCCATGTGCATTTTCATCAATTATTTTGTAAAAACTCTCGGACCCTATGGAACCATTTAGTCATGAGTAATGTTATGTATACTAATCAATTTGTATTAATAGTTGAAATTTTGAAATTTTTTTTTTTTTTTAGTTTTTGGGGGGACTGATGTGGCAATAAGAGAAGTCTACCACATTAATTAGTACTTGAGTTGTATAATTTTTGGTCGGTGCATATAACATTATTCTTTAGTTATATAAAGATTGAAGTGACAACACTCTACAAGCCTCCTCTACTACACTGGAAGGCCTGGTAATCTGCTACTGAGATGGGACTGCAGCATGGTATCAAAGGTTGTGATTGGCTCTGATGTATTGAAAGTAAAAAGTTAATAATGGATAGGGTAAAGATAATTTTGATAAAAAGTAGATTTGACTAAATTTAAGGGACTATTAGGAAATATACTTTTTAGGGCGTTTGGATCATATAATATTTTATTATAGGGGATATTATATTAACGGAATAAAAATCACCTTGAAGATCACTAGGAATGTTTAAAAAATGTGTTTGGTTGGTTCGAATAAATTGGTGAATAATATGTTTGATTTGGAGGATAAATTGGTGAATATGTTATATAGATTACTAAATTATCCTCTTTTTAAATATTAATATAACAGTATTTTTTATTATTATTTTTTGAATCTTTTTTTTTAATCCTGTACTTTTTAGATTTAGCAAAAATACCCTAGCAACCAAAAACGTTTTAAACTTAAAAAAAACACCCTTACCTACCCCAAGCCATTGTCGGTAGCCAACCGCCATCGCTGATAGTGTCATAAATCTGGCCGTGATGTCGGCAGTGCCACAGATCTGGCCGTTTCACGGCCAGATCTATGGTCATTTCACGATTAGAGATGTGGCTGTGAAACGTCGGCTGTTTCCTGACCATAGACCTAGCTATTTCATGGCCAAATCAGTCGTCGTTTCACGATCACATCCTTGGCCGTGAAACAGCCAGATCTGGCTTTTTTCGACCATGGATCAGATAAAGCCTCACCAATGCACGACCGACCATATACGGCCAGTCGTACGCCATTATGGTGACTTTTGGCAGCCTTTGGCGGCGGCTGCTGGTGATAGCTAGTTCTGGGTATAGTGACATTTCTGTAAATAATGATAATAACAAGGGCAATGTCGTCCGAAAAATTTAAAAAGCGAGGACAAAAGTGTATGCATGAGTGATCGAGTGTTTTGTAAATATTAATAAATATAAGGTTAATTTGGACCAAATGCTCAACAGTTTAGGGATAATATGGGAAAAAAATTGTAATACCAGGGTAAGTTTTAATAACAGCCCCCCCCCCCCCCCCCTCTCTCTCTCTCTCTCTCTCTCTCTCTCTCTCTGAGGTACTAAGATTACCAGAAATTTACCCCCCAGATCTATGATCGTTTCACGACTAGAGATGTGGCCGTGAAACGTCGGTCGTTTCCTGACCATAGACTTGGTTATTTCACTGCCAAATCAGTCGTCGTTTCACGGCTACATCCTTGGCCGTGAAACAGCTACATCTAGCTTTTTTCGACCATGGATCAGAAAAAGCCTCACCAGTGCACGATTGGCCATATACGGCCGGTCGTACGCCATTATGGCGACTTTTGACAGCCTCTGGTGGCGGCTGCTGGTGATGGCTAGTTCTGGGTATAATGACATTTCTGTAAATAATGATAACAACAAGGGCAATGTCATCCAAAAAATTTAAAAAGCGAGGATAAAAATGTCTGCATGAGTGATTGAGTGTTTTGTAAATATTAACAAATAAAAGGTTAATTTGAACCAAATGCTCAACTGTTTAGGGGTAATATGGGAAAAAATTGTAATACCAAGGTAAGTTTTAATAACAGTTCCCCCCCGGCTCTCTCTCTCTCTCTCTCTCTCTCTCTCTCTCTCTCTCTCTCTCTCTCTCTCTCTCTCTCTGAGGTACTAAGATTACCAGAAATTTACCCTCCAAATGCTACTGTTTGTCACAAAATATTTCAGGAATAATTTTTTACAAACCAACCAAACATCGTCATCTGCTCAATTTAAAAAATATTACCCTAATTATCTAATATTAACCCGATCCAAACGGCCCCTTTGTGATACCCTTTTTCTTGGTTTAACTGAAATCTTACATGTTCATTTCTATTCCGCCGATGTTACTCGGTGGAAATTTTTGCTTGTCCAAAATTTGAAAAAATGAAAAGTAGTTAGCTCAATCATTCATTAAACATTTGCTTTGTTCTTGATAAGCTTTATCCGATAAGGTGGTGTTAATTGACGAAGTGATTGATTGTGACATGGGAAACTTACTAGATCAGTGCTGACAGTAATCGTCATAAGTTGCACTTGCTAGTTGAATCATTGTTGTTGTAAGTTTATATGATGATGGAAATGTGTAACATGCCTTGATATAAAGAGGTCTTGTACCTCTTCTAGCACCCATGCCACCTTGCTTTTTTTGTCGATGCATATTTGCTGTTTGATCATTTTAGGTACAATTAGACCATGGATTTGTATGTTAACATAACATGATTTCACAGTCCTTATTATGCTTATTTTTCTGCAGAAACTGAATTTTCAAGCAATCTTGTTTTTTTCTGTAGAAACTGATGGTGTTTGTTTTATATTATTGTAGGATGTAGCTATCAGCTTTATATGTTTGAACACACCGACTTTAGGGGTCCAACCTTAGAAATTAAGTCTTGAATTTGTGGTTGGCTCTTTAGGCTTTGTCTATGTTGGTTCTGTATGGCTGGTCCCTCGTGATTAACTAAAGCTTTTGGCTATTGAGTCGTAATTGGAGGTTGTTAATCTTTGCAGATTGCAGCATCTGCTTTTCATTATTGTTATAATTGACGTCAGTTTGAATCCTATAAAGTAGTCTTTTGTGTCAAATCGATACTGTATGCTTATCTGCCCCAAACAGGAATCAATCCTGCAAGCCTAGAGAGGTTTGAGAATGTGTTGATGCCAGATAAGATTAACAATATGATAATTGAATTATGGTTGCACATCTTAAAACTTGAAAAAAAAAAGCAAAAAAGAAAACTAATCATCAAAATCCCAGAAATCGGCTCTTTTGGGATAAGTTTACGGAGAAATAAAAACTTGGTGGAGCATAGATGATACAAACTTAGTGTATGGTTTATTAACGTAGAGAAACACTGAGCAACCATGTTATTGTGGTTCAGGCTTTTAGTGGTAAACGACTGGTGATTTTACTTTAGAGTTTGGAGTGATGTTAGAACCGAATCTTCTGATATGAGACAGCAGGAAAGCCTCAAGATGAAGACAAAGTCTGAGTTGAGAAACCTGGGTTCATTGTCAATTTGTGACACCAGCTTGTGAATGGAGTCTCAAAAAGTAATGGTAACATGTGAATTTAAGTGGGATTTTGTACAAAACAGTTAATTTGGGCGCTGGCTAATTGGGTATAGTGTGAGTTTGGACATTGTTGATGAGCTCATAAAAATTTGGGCATCTTTTTTTTTTTTTTTTTCTCCTTTTCCGAAGGATCAGGACCACTTGAGTCAAGAGGAAGAGGTGATAGATTTAGACTTGTATTGTATATGGACTTTGGCAGTTCATCATCATTTCTGGCACAGAGGACCTGAGCAGAGAGATTCAGAAGAGAAAAGCACTGACACTGTTGCAGGAGAAAGAAAGATTGGAAGAGATTAAGACATTGCATCATTTGGAGCTGTCTTCTTGCCCCACCATATTTATGATCAACACTTTCTTTCCTTACCGAATTGTGTTTCAACATCAATATATAATTTAGAAATTTTCATGCTTACTTTACAAATCCAATTTTAAAATTCGAGTCCTATTTGAATCTTTCAATTTTTAGCTAATTAGGAGGGATGCTTTAACACCACTTAACTTATTACTAACATTAATTTCTGTTTTCAAATTTCTAACACTAGAAAATTAAATAAATCATGTGTATATTCTTCCATATTATCACTGTAAACTATTTTATAAGCATGTTTTAACTGAAGTTGGGGAGACTGATTTTCCTTAATAATTAGATTGAAAAATTATATATCAGTGGGAAGGAGCTTTATTGACTAAAGTCCCATCCAGATCCAGCGGAAGGGTAGTGTATAGTAGTATTATATGGGCAAGTTATTGATGAGAATATTTTCTTTTTGACCAATTTGGTAATAATAATTTTGGATTGATGATGATATTTGATAACGTGGGGGCCTTAGCGATTTGCATTTTTCTGGTGGGAAAAATGAAAACGTTGACGAACTGTTGTGCTACCTTAGCGCGGGGCACTTGGGAGTTTTTGTACAATCATTTCATTTAATGAATTGGACTTTTTGACCTTCTTACTCGCTTCTAACATAATTATGAACTATCACATTTACTATACAGTGATATAAAAAACAATTAGATATGGATTTATTCATTCCATTTGTTTTCTTTGGATGTTTGAGAGATGACATTTGATTATATATATATATTAATGATGAAAAGCAAATTTTAGAGATAATGTGATACATACTAGAAAATCATTGACAAGATCCTGCCGGCAGAAAATTAATAGATGGGTTACTTTTGCATGATACAACTTATTAAAATCAAACCTACCACTAGAATTCTAATATATACAGAAAGAGTCATTTATGAGATTCACGTGCGTGGATGGGAGCTTGCTATAATAACTGTTGATTGAGTGTGAGTGTTAGCAAACAAATATAGGGTAAATTCCTCAAACTTTATTCACCCTAGCAACTGAATTCAATTCAGTGCGCTGTACATTACCATTCACACACATGATATTAATTTCTACTCAATAATTGGCCAACGCAATCCGTGACATCGGCCTATGCAGATATTAGAAGAAACTTTCGGTACCGATAGAATACTATTACACCGACGTTGTCGGCCACAATTTAGTGATTTTACATCGATGCCTTCATGTTATTGTATTGATCACACGCCGGAGCCATTTGCCGATGTCGAGAATGGCATCAATGTATGCATGTTTTTTGGTGGTGTCCAATATTATAATTTTGTACAAATTCAGATGGATGGATAGATCTAGGCACTATAAGAAAGGAAAAGATGGAAAATTGGAGGTTGGTATGGGCAGGCATATGCTGTGCTGGTGAGGCACATTTTAATTTGACAAGATATAAACTTAGAGGCGATAAGGAGCATATAAGTGTTGCTCCATGCATACAAGACATAAGGGTGCGTTGGAGGGGCCGGTTGTTAGTGCTTCAATGAGTTGTTTCCCAACTGGAAGTTTTATTATCTCCATTGCAAATTTTATTTCAATGTTTAGTACTTGAGAAACATGGATTTGATTGCCTTCTTGTTGCTTTCTATACCTATCTCATGGCACGCCCATCTTTCCATTATTTTCTTTGTTTTCCTTCTCCATTAAAAACTTTCACCAAAGTTTTATTTTGGTACCCCACTTTCTTATAAAAATATCTTAAAACTTAGAGCATGGATTGATTGTGCTATTAACTCAGTTTTTTATTTCATTTTTTGCATGCTTTATTGGTAATAAAGTTTTAGTTTAAGTTTCACTATCTTTTTGTCAGTGTCAACCGCCGGGAAAGAAGAAGAAGAAGAAGAAGGGTACATATATATAATGCTTCACATTAGCAGAGAATAATGGTTGCTCAAGTACAGTACAGTTGCACCCACTCTAGTCAGACTCGGCGTCTTTAATTTTCTCAATGACTTAATTTGCTACTGTTTTAATTTCTAAAATTAAATTCATAATTGAATATATAGTACAAATAAAAGTATTTATGCTTTACCTAGCTTTAAATTATATATGTGTTTGTGTCTGTAAAATTTAACTTTCTGGATGATTTTCTTATAATTAAATTCAGCACATGGGTGCCAGTGGGAATCCTTGATCCTGCCGGTTTAAAAAGTGGAAGATAGATTCCATCAATTTACAAATGGGAATATTAGACTATCCCTAAGGTTTTCAATTGTATTATTTGGATGACAATTTTCTCATTTTTTATCCAACGGATCCTCATATTTTGAAAATTACATTATGAATACCCTATTGGCTATTGCCCTAACTTTATTTTATTGCCATTTGTGATAGATGTGTGAATGATAACTTTAGTCTTACAAAAAATTACTAAGGTAAAATGGTAATAGTGGTTTTATAAGAAAGTGTTTTGTAAACCTAACCGTGTCAAGACTAAGGGGATAAAGTTCTTATACTTTGAGGGTCTCTTTGGTAGGACAACGGGATATCCATAATTTATTTTTCAAACTTTAAGGGTCTGTTTGATAAAATATAGTCATCCGAGTGAAAATTAAAAAAAAAAAAAAACCTTAAAGATAGTCTGTTGTTATTCTCCAATTAACAAATTAAATATTAATATACAAGGCAAAAAGCTGTAAAATGAAAAATTACATTTACCAATTACCATCCCGAAAGTAGATACACAAAATACACCCCCGTCTTACTAAAATTTTCTCTTTGCTTTGTATTTTTAATTAACTTTTTCTCTTCGATTCATCAGTTGGAGGCATCATTCAGCTCCAACATGCCATGCATAAAGCTTCGTGGCTTCATGCTATATACATATTTTTATTTAAAAAATCTAATAAATATTCATAGATTACACCATCCCATATAACTTGGAAATGATGCTCCCACTCCTTGCCTCCAAAGGGACAAACAAATTAAAGCTATACTGATTAATATTCAGCAAAAGAAAATTAAACACACCTTTTTGGATATACCAACAAATATATTAAGAATTAGGAATCTGTCCCATTCTACTTTTCAGAAGATTAATTGTTTATAATTAAGACAACTGAGACATCAAAATTTGGCTTCTTTTTTTTTCAAAAATATAAAATCATAATCTTGTGTTTTCATTTCACGAGGCAGATTATACTTTGAATATATAGTTTTCAAAGTCAATAGTCATTCTGATCAAATAGTATTCGGAGACCTAATACTAAAACAATATGATAAATTATTTATTTATTTTTATAAGATTAATAATATGTGCATATCGTGACATAGGAGTAGGACCCATGAGATGTAGCTCAATTATTGTCTAGGCATCACTACTGAGGAAAAAGAAAATGTTAAAATTGGGAATTTTTTGGTATCTTCCAGATTGATTTTTGACGTCGAGATTAGTTAAAAGAAGCAAAGGCAAAATCTTGTCATTTAATTAAAGATAAAATTTAGTGCATATTATACGTCACACAAACCATGATAGAAGTTTGTGCAAAAAAATATCTTATTTTGTGTGCTAGATACAATTATATTACGAATAACAGAAGCAAAACTTTCATAACAAAATATTATTCTCATCCCATGAGTTCAAGAAAGTAAAAAACAGAAAAGGAAAATTGTGAGAATTTTTTTATTATTATTATTATAGAAGAAAACAAAAATGAGTAGAGAAACGTGAGGAAACCTAGTGTTAAGGCGTTCCCCTCTCCCTTGACAAATGACCACGTGGATCCACATTCAAAGAAGCCTCATACTAACAGCCTATCTTAATATTATGGCTTAATTGTATTTGTATAAACAAACATTGTGGCCATGTTTATCAGTGCAAGCGCAAGCTTCCTTCAAAAAGAATGAATGAATATACTTTAGTAAATAAATAATTTGTACTTCGTATGAGAAAAAGATAAGAGAGTGAGTATGGTTGGACAGTTATTATTAATTGGATAGTAAAGTGAGATTTTTATTGTTGGAAGCTTTTTAAGTGCTTCAATATGGTTAGAAATGACTTGTGATTGGGACTATCTTAAGCTATTGTGGGTCCAATTCTAATGGGGAATTAGCACATCTTAATACAGACACATGGCTAAGGGATAACACAGATAGCTTTGGTCTCACAAAGAGTTGACACCATTATTTTTAGGAGAGAGGGACTCTGATTTGATTTATTTCTTCTCCCATTTTATATTTAATTTTAATTTGATATCTTGCCTCTGTCTTTCTCATTGTTTAGCTAATACGCACTAACTACACATGTTGGCCTTTAACATATATATATTGTCAAGATTTAAACTATCTTTTAAGTACATATATGTGTTCTTGTCATTTAAAGGTCTCCACTTATCCGTAAACACCTTCGATAAATGCAAATAAATAGCTTCCTTCAAATTAAAGAGATAGAGAAAGATTCTTTCTTATCTTTTGGCCACTAGTCACTTTGATGTTACATTCAACAATGCAGCATAGTTGAG